TTGAGATAGGGGAGTCCCAGCCCCCTCCCCAGCTCCTTATACCCTGCCTTCCAGCGAGGAACTAACTAAATTCCCTTCCAGCCCTGCGCCGCAGTCAGGGCAGCATTCCACCTTCCTTTGTTCCTCTCCATGGGGGGTGTCTGGCCACTGGTTCAACAAGTTTGGCATTACCTCTGCCTAGTGAGGTTTTCCCTGCTGGGTCTTGCTCCAGACAGCAGGGGTCACCACAGCCCAGCAAGTACCCCCACTACGTCACACCTTGTTACCCGCTCAGGCTGGGCCTGGGTGTCTGGGCCAATCCACGTGTGGGTGCGTCAGTGGGAATCGCAGCCCAGCGCAGGGGCCCCGGGTCACAGAGCAGACAGCCCCTCTCCCCCCCTCCCCCATCACACTGGCTCCTGCTCGGCTCCCCCGGGGCTCCCCCACCTCCTCCCGCGACGCCGCCAGCCCGAGCTCCAAGGGTTTCAGCCCCAAGCGGGGGGCCCGTAGCCAGAGTCCTGGGACCCAGGGCTCAGGCCCCAGCTAGTCCAAGCCAGCCCCAGACTGGTGTCTGAGAACCGCTGGTCTCCAGCATTCCTGTGCCGGGAACAGCCCCTCTCTCTGCTCCCCAGTGACGTACGGCATGACCAGCACCAATGCCTATTACTACACCAAGGTGATGTCCGACCTGTTCCTGCACACCCCCTCCGACAGCGGCGTCTCCTTCCAGTCCATCAGCAGCATGGCTGAGTTCTGGGCGGTGAGTACAGCAGGCAGGGCTGAAGCCACGTAGCCCCACCCCGGGCGGCCCGCGGGGCCTTGCTCCCTTTGCTTCCGCCTGTGCCCGGCTCCTCTGGCTGCCCGCTTGAGTTCCCGGCCTGTAGGGACGTCCTTTGACGGGCTCTTTGGGTCCGGGGGTGACTCCCGGGCCTGGGGCGTTGAGAGGCCCCATTGCGCCGGGCGCTGGACAAGGCAGGCCCACGCTGGGAGGCAGGAATTGTGCTTACGCCCATTTCACAGAACCCCTGGGCAAAGAGGCTCCCCTGAGTCCTGCAGCAAATCCTGGCAGAGCCGGGCCCGGGGCCCGCCGGGCGTGAACAAGCAGCGTGTTCTGATATCGGTGTGACAGCCTCCTGCGGCACCCTAATCCTCCTGGGAACAGCAGGCCCAGCCCCAGGCAGGCAGCGTGGGAGCTCCCTAGGGTGCTAGTCCCGGCTGATTTCACCAGAGCCGTGGCTAAGGGTGGGACAGGTGCACAGGAGCCTTTGGGCTGCTACTGAAGAACGCGCTGAGCAGTGCTCGTGCGAGTGCTCGTGCAAATGCTCGTGCGACCCCCCGCCCCGTGCAGCTCAGACAGCTAGGAACAGCGTGCCAAGAGCTGCTTTGTCTGTCTCTGCCAGCAGCAGCCTGCAACCAGCCGGGGCTTGGCTTTCGCCTGCCGCCCCTGCATGGGTCACCTT